GGTACAAGCTGAGAAAGATTACTTGGTATCGTCTTTCCGAAACTACTTCTTGGCTTAGGTAAGCAATCTCACCTTAACTTTGGTCTCTCAGATCCATTTCTTCAGGTGAGGTAAATGCTTAAGCACTTGGCTACTAGCCAAATGGTTGGTTGGTTGAATCCGCCCACGAATCTTGGAAAGAAACGTCTGCTTCCAGAAGGTCACAGCCTGGAAAACTCTAGTTCTCCTGGGTCACAACTAACAGCAACCACAGTCTCCCTGGAGACCTTTCTGAAAATGAAAACCTCCCGGAAGAGAAACCCGTTCCACCAGTTGGAGCTCAGCAGAGGAGCCTCACTTTGCATGGCCATCCTTGACTATGAACCTGTCTCCTTCAGCTCTGAGAGTGCTTTCCCGAGGCCAGGAAATGTCAGCGGCCAAATTCTTGTTGTCGTAGACAGAATGGCATGTTTTGTTTTGCATGCTAATTTGTTTCTGCTTTTCTTAAAACAAAACACTTTTTTTTTCTTTTTTCTATTTTTAGGCTTCGCTGCATTTTCAGAGCAAAATTAGGTTAACAAGCTATGGGCAACACCTGCTCCTTTTATTTTTCTCTTACGTTTTCTTGTAATGTAAAGTTGTGTTCCAGAAAACAAACAAAATACAACAAAAAAACACTTGCTGCCAAGTCAGTTCCAACCCCTGGCAGCGCCATGTGCGTCAGGAGAACGGTGCACTCCAGGGCAGTGGTCCTCAACCTTCCTAACGCCGCCACCCTTTATATAAATTCCTCATGTTGTGGTGACCCCCACCATAAAATGATTTTCGTCAGGGCAAGAAGTCCAATCAAAGTGTGAGTGAATGAAAGAAAAAGTAATCGGCGCTAAAAATCTGTGCAGAGCTATCGGTTCATCTATAGAAACTAAAACGATAACAAACCATTTCCTCATCAAAGATGATGCCCCTTTTCTTAGGGAAATAACAGAAACCGTTTAACTCTCCAGGAGATATAATGCTTATGTTTACAGTAAGTTTGGGTGAATTTTACTGGAAAACTGTGCCCTAGTCACAGCTGGGAATGTAGAGTTTGTACAGAGCGCCTCTTGAGTTGTATATGCGACAATGCGTATGCACTCTGTTTCAACTCATCTGCTGGAATCCCCTGAACGCAGCATCAACCATTCTACTTTCCCCTGTGTTTCCTGCTTCCGTTGCCCGACTTCTCTCACCCCCCTTTGTCCTTGGGTAAATGTTGCACTTCTGATCTTAAATGGCTGATGATTGGATCACTGGGGTGGAGGGGTAACTCAGGGACCCTCCCTCTCTCTCTCTGACCATTGAACCTGGTCCCTTTTATCATCCTGAGTTTTGCTTCAATGTCTTTTCACTCTGTCCAGAACCTTCTAACGTGATTCTTATCAGAACGTTTGTTGGTGGGAGACAGGTACCATTGCTCTACTTCCTGGTCTCAGGGTTGTGGAGAGTATCTCTTGGGTGGTCCGTTAGTCCACTGATCCAATTGTTTTCATAGGTTTACTTTCCATTTCCTCACATGCCCTTTTTTTTTTTGCCTGAACAAGGAGACATCAATGGTTGCACCTTATATGTTGCTCAGGAGCTTTTAAGATCCCTGATGTGATTCACCCCACTAGGATGTAGACCTTGGTCTTTGTGAACTAAATTGTGCCAATACATCTTGGTGTGATTTGAGACTATGCTCCTGATCCCCCAGGCCCATGGACTCATTTTCTCAAGGGGTTTGACTATGTGTAGAAAGTGTTTAGAATTTGCGTCCTATGTATGGTCTGCCACATTCATGGGTATATTTTCAGCACTTACATGCATATACTCTGTCAAATCCCATATTTGTGGGTATGCACCCTCTCTGCTTCCCACACATCCTCGGTATGTATGTCTAGCTAAGCATCTACTCAGCTCACACTCTTGCAGGATTGCGTATGCCTTAGTATTTTCCCATTGCTATTAATTCTTGTACATCTCCCAGTGTCTTGTTCTGTGTCCAACATTTCTTGCTCACCTCTCTTGTATATGGCATCCCCTTCTCTCAAGTTAACACCTGTGTACTCTCTCACCTTTCCATTTTCTTTTTCTTCCTTTTCCCCCCATCTTTGGTAAAGATCAAAGTCTATTTATTTTTGTGTGAAAACCTGTTCTTGAATCTTTACAACAGTGGTTTCATATCATACTTGTCCCTTTGCGATTGAATAGTTTCCTTCAGCATGACATCCTTCAAGTTCATCTATATTATGGATTCCTTACTATCCTTTAAAGTTGTGCAGTATTCCATTGTGTGTATGTACCAAAGTTTGTTCATATGTTCATTCACTGATGCCCCCTTAGATTTTTTCCATCTATTTGCTATTATGAATAGTGCTATGATGAACGTGGGTGTGCACATACATGTATTTGTGCTGCAAATATGCCCAACAATCTTTATTCAAACAAACAAACAAACAAACCCACTGTTGACAGCTTATTTGTGATTCATAGTGATCTTTTAGAATGAATGGGACCTGGATCTATAAGGCTTCCAAGACCGTAAATCTTTTTTCCCCATTAGATTTTTTGGGGGGTATATAGCACATATCATACAATTTACTAGTTCAATCACATCAATAAGAGTTGCACAATAAGTTTTAGAACATGTTCTTAGGAGACCTATTTTAGCACAGAACTAAATGGTGAATGAGTGGCAAGATTTAAGTGCTGAATAAGAGTGTCCAGGCCCTAAGACAGGCAACTGCAGAGTCATCGACAGACTAAGCTCAGCATGTTTGAAGGACAGAGGAAAGCCCGTGCGTGAGGATAATGTGAGCCAGGAAGAAAGCCATGTGCAAGGAGGTCAGAAAGATACCCGAGGGCCATCTCATGAAAAACCTTTGAAATCATGGTAAGGAGATTGCGTTTTATTCTGAGCACAGTGGTAAGGCACTGAGCTATTTTAAGTAGATGAAATGATCTGATATAAATTTCTAAATTAGAATGTATATAGAGTGTATACCCACATACATATATAGCTTGTGTATACATACGTATATATAATAAAATTTAAACTGCTAGAGGCAAAGTGGACTCCACCGTGATTTCATGTCATAACATGATCTGCCAAGGCTCCATTAATGGAGAGAAATGAGATCATTGTGTATACAGTCAGATGTGTTCTTTCTACCATTAGCTATTTTAACAGTGGGAGCAGTTTGGCATCATCTCCCCAAATTCTTACTCGTATGATACATAATTGCCAACATATTCAAACAATGTCCATTGAGCTCTGCACTGTGTTTGCAAACACAAATAAGCTGAATGGCCATTAAGGGTGTCTGCTTCATTTGCTGTGCTTTTCCCCCTTCTTTTGTTAACAAAATGAAAAGTACTCATGAGCAATAGCTGTAGAAGAAAAAGGTGTTATTGCAGAGCTTTGTTGAGTCTTCTGGAGAGCATGTTTCTTCTTGGCAGTACATTTTCTAAGAAATAATGAAGTGTGTTCTTTTGATTGAATGGATGGATCCCTCTTGAAGAGAGATTTTGGTGCATTAGCTTCTTTAAACCCTGAAGCACTGTTGACTTCCTTATGCATTTGGAAAACTCTAGAGAATCAGTCCCCAGACACAGGAAGGCATGACAGATGAGCCAGCAATTGTCTTGCAGTACTTCAATAGCCACTACCGTAGCTTTATGAAATAGTGTACACTTTCAATGCTGCACAGAAAGTAGGATGTTCTTTGTGAAAAGATTTGTTAATGGAACATTGCTATTAATGTGAACAGGTGCCTGCTCTGACTTCAGTGTCTATAAATGACCTGAAACTACTATCTCAATAGGCTGCCTTAGTAGTCACACGACCTTTCTTTCTGTAGAATAGAGGACGACCAATGTTAATGCTATCATTGTCACGGGAAAGGAAATTTCATCAACTTACCATATGTAGTCGAGGAGAAGCCGACCCAAATATCCACCAAGGGACCTAATTTTACCACAAAAACTGCATAAAAAATGTGCTGAAAAACTTGGCTTATATGGGTGCTCTTTTCTCCCATTCCTTTTCCATCAGAAACAAAGTTGCGCAAACATTTCTACTAAGGTTCATTCCTTGTTTGTCTTTGGTTCTGTCCTTCTCTTTCTTCTTTAAAAAATGCTTATTCCTTCTGGATAGCTCAGAATGAAACATCCAAACGAAACCACCTTTCGGCAGTTTCTACTGGAGTCAAAGGCATGTGACCTCTTCCCCTACCTTTCCATCCTCAAGAGTTCTTTCGGGAAGATGATGATACACCATTCAGGGAGCGCTGAGCTTCCACCTCCTTCAAAGATGGAAGCAGTACTTTTTAGAGTGATTTTTCAGATATCTTCAGGGGAAGTTAGGAGAAATGGAAGCAATCCTTCAGGCCTAGCTGACAGAGTCTTATTGATTAGAAAGGACAAAGAGCTCTCAAATTACATAAGGAGACTTAGATGTAATGGTGGTTTAAAGGATAAGCCTCTTGAATGCAAAATCCCTGTTCAGATTTTGTCCCTAGCACCGTTCAGCAGTGAGATAGGCTTACCTCCTCACTCACATGCAAAAACTCAATGCCATCAAGTCGATTCTGCTCGTAGTAACTCTGTGGGACAGAGGTTTCAGAAGCTGTTAATCGTTAGAGGAGTTGAACGTCTCATCTTTATCCTACAGAGCCACTGTTGGATTTGAACTTCTGATCTTGTGGTTAGCAGGCCAGGGCATAATTCACTCAGCCACCAGGGCTCCTTGCTTATTTCTGAGAACCTTAAAATCTTTGCAAAATGAAGTCAATATTTATTAGTGACCATATCTTTGAACTAATGAGATAATAAATCATGCATATAAAGTACTTAGCATCACACCAGGATCCAAATAAGTACTTAAAAAGCAATAGCCATTAAATTTTGATAAACATCCATAGGAAGTATAATCATTATAACAGACAAGTTTTTATAGTGGTTTTGATATTTGTATTACAAACTTATATTCATAAATTGTAAATATGGACTGTATTTTTCTTTTTCTTATAGGGCTTTTAAATTGTTGTGTGGCATACAATGTTGGGCTTCCTGAAGCAAAAATATTTTCCGGGCCTTCGAGTGAACAGTTTGGCTATGCAGTGCAACAGTTTATAAACCCAAAGGGAAACTGGTAAGAATATTCTATTCTCTATACTTTCAATAAAAATGCTAAATAAATACTTTAAAAGAACTAAATAAATAATAGTTAACTCCAATTGCTTATTTAAATTCGTGCCCGTTATACTGTTAATGGATAACCTTCAGACCTACTAAACTGAGGGCTTTCTTTGAGAATAGATAGCTGTAAGAAAATAATTAATAAGATGATTTACAGTATGAGTACTTTTCTTTAGACTTGAATAAAAAATGCCCTCTAAAAAATCCATATAAAACTTGTTATATCACTTTGACCATTTAACATCCACTTACTTGTCTATCGATTAATTGATCTATTGATCTCTCATCTATAACTAAAAACAAAATCCTTTTTCATCAAATAGATTCCAACTCCTAGCTCTCCTATCGGACAGAGTTGAACTGCCTCCTAGGGTTTCCAAGGCTGTGATCACTGCAGAAACAGACTGCAGCTTTCTTGTACCCTGGAGGGGCTGGTGGGTTTGAACTACTGAGCTTTCAGTTAGCAACTGCGCCCTTAACCCCAGCGCCACCAAGATGGCTTATATCTGTTTAGAAGTATACACAAATGAAAATGCGTCCTTTAATTTTAAGAATCATTTTTAGATTTTTCTTTATTTTTCTCTTTTTAATGACCTTTTGCTTTCGTCATGTATGCTGTCCGCGATATCATTCCACAGCTCATCGGGTCATTACTGTTCAAGGTGTCAAATCGGTTCGTGAGATGTTCTCAAAATTCGGGTGGGACAGACTCGTTTGTATTTAGGCTCTCAGGAGTTTGTTTTCATTTTCTTGAACTTTAGCCTGCACATATATATGAGCTACTGAGGATCTGTTCCATAGTCAGTCCTTGGCTTGGTTTTGCTGATGCTATTGAGCTTCTCCATAGAATCTTACCACATATGCAGTCACTTAGATTTCTAGGCATTTGATCTGGAGAAGTCAACTGCATAGTCCCACTTTACACTGTTGAAAAAGGTGTTTGCAAATAAGAAATCATTGGTTTTGCAAAATTCTATTATGCACACTCCACCTTCGTTTCCATCACCAAGACCACACATTTTAGCTACTCTTCTTCCCTCCTCCTCATTTCTTAGTTTCGTATTATAATCATCTTCCTTGCGTGTTTGATGGATTTCAGATGGAAGAAATTGGTAGAATTTCTTCATCACTAGCTTTTGTGGTTGGTATGGAGATTTGAATAAAAGTTGTAATAACTGGACTTCCTTGTAGGCATATAGATATCAACCTATCACAGACAGCATTGTACTTCAACTTAGATCGTGAAATGTCCTGTTTGGACACAAAGTATATGATCCCATTTATCTTGAATTTGTTATTCTCAACAGATTAAGCTGTATGACTGTCGAATTCAATATGGCCAGTACCAGTGCATTTCAGCTCACTGATGCCGACAATCTTGATCTTTATGTGGTCCATTTCATTTCTGATGTCTTCCAATTTTCCTACATTCATAATTTGTACATTCCCCATTCCTATTCTGAATAGATATTTGGAGCTATTGCTTCTCGTTTTGAGTCAGACCTCATCAGCTAATGCAGGTCTTGAAAACTTTACTTCAACCATGTCGTTGTCACCATCAGCTCTGTGTAAGAGGGCAGCTCTCCCTCAGTCATATTTGAATGCCTCTCAACTTGAGTGGCTTCTCTCTGGGTACGATAGCTGGCGATGCTCTGCTGTTACCCGCAAGGTTTTCAGTATCTGACACTGTCCCCCTGCTCTGCATCAGGTCTTCATGGCTGATTCCTCAGCAAGGTACAACCCATCCCTTTTCCTAGTCTGTTCTTAATCTCGAAGCTGTGCTGAAACCTGGCTGCCGTGGATGACCCTGCTGGTATTTGAAACACTCGCGACATAGATTTCAGCATCACAGCAACACACAGGTCACCACAGTACTACCAACTGACAATTGGAAGGATGGCAGCCTTCAATATGGATTACAACTTAGTATAAAGAAAGCAAAATTCTTCACAACTGGACCAATAGGTTACATCATGATAAATGGAGAAAAGATTGAAGTTGGCAGGATTTCATCTTGCTTGTATCTACAATCAATACTCATAAAAGCAGCAGTTAACAGATTAAATGATGTGTTGTATTGGGTACATCTGCTGCACAAGATGTATTGAAGAGTAAGGATGTTACTTTGAGTACTAAGGTGTACTTGACCCAAGTCATGCTATTATTAGTTGCCTCATATACATGTGAAAGTTGGACATTGACTAATGAAGACTGAAGAATACTCAGAGCATTTGAATTATGGTACTGGTGAAGACTATTGAAAATATCATAGACTACCAAAAGAACATTGAAATTTTCAGGAGAAAACAGTTGGACCGATGGTTCCAGCGGTCGGGGCAGGGAGAAGGGGATGGGGGGGTGGTCATGGGAGAGGGGGAGGCGGGGGAAAGGAAGGATTTAGCCAGGGTCAGGGGAAAAACAAATGATCTAAAATCGATGACAAGGAGGGCATGGGATGCCTGTTGGGGCTTGATCAAGTGCAATGTAGTCAAGAGGAATTAACAAAAGCCGAATTAAGGCCAAATATGATAGTAGGACAAGGGAAAAGTAAAAGGAAAGAGAGAAAATAACTAGGAGGCAAAGGACATTTATAGAGGTGTAAATACAGGCATGTATGTATGTAAACATATTTATATATAATGATAGGGAAATATATCTACATACATATATCTATATATTAAGTATTAAGGCAGCAGATGGACACTGGGCCTCCACTCAAGTGCCCTCTCAATGCAAGAACACTTTGTTCTAATAACCTGGCACTTTGTGATGCTCACCTTCCCAACATGATCACTGAAGACAAAATGGGTGCATGAACAAATGTAGTGTAGAAAACAGATGGTGCCTGGCTATCAAAAGATATAGTCTTGGTCTTAAAGGCTTGAAGATAAACAAGCGGCCATCTAGCTGAGAAGCAACAAAGCCCACATGGAAGAAGCACACTAGCCTGTGCAATCAAGAGGATGAGGTATCGATGGGACCAGGTATCAGGCATCAAAGACCCAGAACAAAAAGATCATATCTATGTGAAAGAGGGGGAGGGCAGAGTAGAGACCCAAAGCTCATCTGTAGACAATTGGACATCCCCCTCACAAAAGGGTCATAAGGGAGGAATGAGCCAGCCAGTGTGCAGTATTGCACTGACAAAACATACAACATTCCTCTAGTTCTTTAATGCTTCCTGACCTGCCCACTATCATGACCCCCATCCTAACTTACAAATCTGGGTTCCCCAGAAGGGGAAGGTGGGAGAAAAGGGGAACTGAACACAAGGATCGACGTAAAACCCCCCCAGACCCCACTCCCAAAGGAGGAACAAAAGAATAGTGGGTGAAGGGAGACAGTGGGGTCAGTGTAAGACATGAAAATACTAATAGTTTATAAATGATCAAGGGTTCATGAGCGAGGGAGAGTGGGGGAGGGAGGGAAAAAAATGAGGAGCTGATACCAAGGGCTCAAGTAGAAAGAAAATGTTTTGGAAATGATGATGGCCACATATGTACACATGTGCTTGACACAATGGATGTATGCATGGAGTGTGATAAGAGCTGTAAGAGCCCCCAATAAAATGATTTAAAAATAAAAAGAGAGAGCGAGAGAGAAACGAGGATAGTGAGACTTTACTGCACATGCTTGGGACATGTTATCCGGAGAGATGAGTGTATGGAAATGGACATCATGCTAGGTGAGAGGGGACAGCGACAGAGAGGAAGCTCCTTAACCAGGTGGCTTGGCACAGTGGCTGCAACAGCGGCTCAAACATAACAGCAATCGTGCAGACGGTGCTGGACTAGGCAGCGTTGCGCATGGAGTTACTAGTTCCCACCTGTTGGAACTAGTTGTTTGCTTTAACAACAACATGTGGTAAAGGCTTCTCACAAACGTCTCTGCAAATTTTTACAGAGCTGACTTCTCCTGGCATATGTAGCTTCTTTTATTTTTGTTGAAAAGCACACCTGATCTGTTAGCACTGGGTAGTGACTATGTTTATAAACCATGGCCTTTTATTCCCCTAATGGCAAACATCACCTTCCTCGCTCGAGATGGGAATGTGTATTTCTGTTTCTGGTTTAAGTTGTCCATTTAGTAATGAAAATCAATTGAAGACAAATCCAATAGTTCTGGAAGTTGTATTTAATAGCTTTTTCTCCCCTCGAGATGATGATCCCTAGCGGACAGTGTTGGCTGACCCTGGAACCTTCCCTCCTTGTGCCACAGCAGGTCCAGACCATCCCCAGTAGACCTGGACCTTCAATTCCCTGTCTCCATCTCTCGTCTGTTTTGAATGATTAAATGTGCTCTTGTCTGCTGATCAAAGGACAGCTATAATTTACAACTTAGTTTCTGGGTGAACTTATCTTTGGATCGCCAGACAGCTGAATTCACAAACAGTTCGAACATGCCTGTTTCTGTGTTGAGGAAACAAAAGGAAATTATCCCTAGAGAGAGGAGTGTCTTAGAAGCTTCCTGGAGGAGGTAAACGGTTAATTGGATTTCATTGTTGGATACGATCACTTTAAATGTTGGAGAAGAACGTTGAGTAATTCAAGGAGACTAGAGAAGCAGTGTGTGTGGGAGACAGAGCATGTCCATCCACCCGCATGTCTTCGGTCCACTCAGCTAGATGGATAGGACCGGTCTGGTTGGAAATCCAGGGATTAGCAATTAATACAGTATTTGGAACATGAGAGGGTTCTATCTCTATCAATTACTAAACCATGCTTCAATAGCCATAACTCCTTGGCAAGGGCATTAGAAATATATTTTAGTTTATCTTGATTTTGAAATTTAGCAGGTGAAGTTGCTAATGACACACTATATTACATCTCCCCTATTTTTTTTCTGAGCATCTGGCTCCCATATTAAACAATGTATTCAACATCTCCATGTTAGTGTCTTAATAAACATAGCAACTTTTTTTTAATGCCTACCAAATTTAACTGAAGGAAAAGA